CGGTTATAGATGTCTCTCACTCCCATTTTTATGATATCCGTAAATGTTATATTATAAAATTATTATTATTATTATTATGTTATTTTTTATTATCCGTGAATGTTAGCAACTGGACAGATTGAATGCAGCGGTCAAGGAAAAGCGACCAGAATTGGTCGATCGTAAAGGTGTCATTTTCCAGCAGGACAATGCTAGGCCGCACACGTCTTTGTCCACTCGGCAAAAGTTGATGGATATTGGTTGGGAATTGATGTTACACCCACCGTATAGCCCTGATCTCGCGCCATCGGATTACCACTTATTTCGATCCCTGGACGACTCCCTTCGTGGTAAAACTTTTAACGATGATGACGCTGTAAAATCTCACTTAACTCAGTTTTTGGCCGAAAATGATCAGACTTTCTACGAGCGTGGAATTTTCAAGCTGTCAGAGAGACGGCAAAAGGTCGTCGAACAAAATGGAAAATACATTACAGATTAAACTTCGTTCCAAGTAAAAAAATTTTTTATTTCATTGAACAAATCGGCAATTACTTAGTTGCCAACCCGATATAAAACTTGCTCCAATAATATAACTTGTTCGAGCGTTTTCCACGAAAGAGTCTCTTTGCAGAATTGCAAAATAAGAAAGCGGTCACTTTGACCGCGGTAGGTTTAATGTTAAACAAACAATATTCCTAGATGAATTGCAAGATCCAGAGATTCGAGAATCGAAGAGGGTGTGCGCGATATATTCTACCGTACGTAATTTTCAAAGTGATACAAAGTCATCCGATTGAAATGTTTTCGAAACGTCCGGCAAAAATCGAACGCCGACCGTTCAATCTTCTCGAAAAGCAAAAAGAAAAAAAGAAAACTGTGTATTTCCGGTACACGAAATATTGTGTCCGGTACGCAGCTGTGCTTCCCTCTTTGTCTTCTTTGATCCACCCCGTACCTTTCGTTGCCCCCTCCACACTTACCTCTATCTATTCTTTTCACCACGCCGCAAAACCATTCCGTATCCCACCGACGCGCTACTTTTATATTTCGAGCTCGCTCGAGCAAACACAGTTGGCCAGTTACAATTATTTGTAACTGCATGTTACCGTGGAAAAATGCACACAGTATAGAGCGTCGTTCTATTAACGATACGAGAAAATGAAGAATATTTATAATTATTTATATATTTAAAATTATTGATATATTTAAAATTATTGATATATTTATAATTATTGATATATTTAAAATTATTGATATATTTAAAATTATTGATATGTTTATAATTATTTATATGTTTATAATTATTTATATATTTAAAATTAGAATAGCCGGCGTAGGAGTACATCTTTTCTATATTCAGGAATACACAACATCTGGTTCGAACATGACTCTTCCGGCCGGTAATAGTGCGAACGCGGGGGACGGTCGACGTGTTCGCGAAACCGTAATTTCCCGCCAATTCTTCGCGCATTAACCGGACCACGAATGAAGCAATACGCGCTTGCTTTTGCGAAAGCTCCGATTTGCACGCGAGCCGATCGAACGTTCGTTTGAAAATCTTTCAGCGACGTATTTGAGCAACGTGCCTCGGGGATGATCGTTTTTCCGTCACGCGATGATAATTTTAACATTCATGAATGAGAAATTCGCGCACGATCAATGATGAAAATTCTTCGAAATGTTTCACAAGCGAGAAAACGGATGGATTATCAACGAAATCGTTTCGGGATAGTGTAAACAAAAATATCCAACGATTCCCGGTTGATGCAAAACGGGAACGAACGTCGAAGCCGCGACGATATCCATCGAACGCGTTTGTTATCTCTCGATCCGCAAGTGAAAAAAAAAGCAAAGAGAATAAAAGAAGATCGTGCGCGGCGGTTCGACGGCGCGAACACGCAAGCGTGATTTCTTTCCAGGAACCCTATACATGCGTGCACTTGACGGACATAGTGTGAACATTTTGGTCAATGGCAGGCTGTGCTTACTTTTCGGTGGATCCGAGGCTCGGCCGGACCCTGACAACCGGCTAACGATGTAGCCGATCACGAGGATGATGCCGCCGAGGAATAACGTGCTCACGAGGATGAGCACGGACACGCTGAATCCCGGCGCGAATCTTGTCTCTGCATCCTCCATCTTCACCGCGTGTTCGAGTCACTACACTATATATATATATATATATATATATATATATGTATATATATATAATATCCCGTTTATCTCACCGCACCACCGACGCGCCGCGTTTCTTTCCTTGTGTCCCGTGTCTCTCTGGACCCGTCCGAGAATCAACGTGAATCGCGAGCACGGAACACGACCGAGTCACAGACCACGACCGCGTGCGTTCCAAAAAACACGAGTATCGTGCAACGATCGCGGCCAGTCAGGCCAGCCAGTGCGTCAACTCCGCGGCGGGCCCGAACCACCAACTTTATAGACGGGACACGCGAGAGACCGGCGCGCGTCTTCTTCTGTCACGGGTCACGCGAACTGTACGTAGAAACGAAACAACGGGAACGCGACGCGCGAGCACAACCGCCGCCTGCCCTCGCGACTTTCCCCCTGCTCCTTTCGCCCGTATCCTCTCGCCGGCAATTCTCTTCAAAATGTTCCGTCCGACCGGCGATCAATTTCGAAATGTAAACACATCGGAGTGTACCGAACGCTTGCGTAAAACTCTTTCGGCGGAAGGATCCAGTTCCGTGGCGGGAATTTCGTAATCGTCGCGACGGTGTGTCGTGTGCGGTGTGTGCACGCTTCTAGACCGCAAGAGTGGCTCGAAAGAACAACGTTCGCATTCCGCGATCCCAGGATCGGTTTTTATTTGTTCTTGGCACCGTTGCGAGATTCGTCCGCTGCGATGATCAAAGTTACTGCTTGCGAACGGTTTCTGGGTCAGCGACGTTGCATTTCGTGCGCGGCGACACACTTCGAAGTTCGAAATTTCTCGACCGTCGGCGCGGCCGGTTCTCCCAGCCAGGCGCTTCGCACGGATCCCCGATTATCGTTGAACACCGGTCGTGTTTTGTGTCATGATTTCACGAGAATCCGAAGCCGGCGACTCTGTTTCGTTTTTCGCGCGAAGAAACGAGAGAGTGTCGAGCTTCTCGGCGAAACGTCGTAAAATGTCGTCGTCTGGTCGGCCCTTCTAATTGTAAGAACGGACACGGCGAGATTGAAAGAAACAAGAGAAGCAAGAATTGCGATTCACTCGCGGTCGCGATCGTTATTACCGCGCGCAACTTACGTAAGCTCGTTAAGCGATCGCGTGCTCTGGCGGCACACTCTTAAATTAGACGGAGTCATCGCGGTACTCGGAGATCACGTACAGAAGTTCGGCTCGCGAGTGAACGGAACCGATCGTCGCTGCTTGAAACGCGTGTTTGCCGAAACGCGCCATTAGTGCCGGTATATACGCGCTGGCGCCTGTGCTTCCTGCCCGTTTAATCCGCTCCTACCGAGAGACCTCCCCCCTACATGTGAGTCAGTCCCCCACGTAGGATTCTCGCGGCTCTCCCACCGCGACGAACATGCGCCGTCGAAATTACGCGTGCTGTACGGCGCGGCGCGGCAACCGCTTCTAAAATTTTCGTTTCCTCTTTCACGAATGAAAGGGTATTCCGATTTTGCGTCCTCGGAAAATACATTTTTTGCAATTTCTTGAAGTACACGTTTTGCTATATACGCTAGCATATGTTTGTAAAACGCTTTGTTGGAATTCGTAAGAATAATGAAGTTATAAATAATTGAATAGAATTCCATATAACTGACGCGACGAACTTTAAACGGTTTAAAAACGTGTCTCCCGAAATCTGTTTTTCGAAACGGTTAACACGATATCTCAAATCCTAATTTATCAATTGTAATATTAGAAATTGAAATATATTAGAATTGAAATATTAGATCGAGTCTCGTAAATAATTCCCGATGCAGTCAGCTAGAATCTATCCTCACTTTTTTCTTATCGTTTTGACACGCTGAAGACGAAATTTAATTCAAAATAATGTCATTTTATGAATAAACAAGATTATTATGTTATTTCGATTCAAAGCATAGCCAGACTTATGATAAAGGAGATTTCTAATTTATTGGATCGAATCAGCAGAAAACCCGAAATCACGTCATTAGTCAACAGAATTTTCGATAACAAAGAAAATTTAAATTGAGGATCCGAACGGATCCAATAATCGTCAGTTGCTACAGAATTTGCCGATCGAGGGTTAGGTTGATAATTGTTTGTCTAGAATTGAGAAATAGATAAATAAGGGAATTATCCTAGACAAGAACCGTTGAACGGTTATCATAGGCGCAGCGTCTCGCCCGATCGGTACGATCAGTATCTCATCTTACCGAGTAAGATTTGCATTTCCAACACTCCGATGATCTCACTCGGCGAGTCATACTATGACGTGGAATTGGTCGAGTACGTATCGAGGAAAACTAGAAGTAGATTATCCCCCTTTTTTTACGTAATAAGACCGCGTTTCCCACGAACCAGGAAACATAGTGACTTTCCGGAAACAACTGTATTACGTTCGATCAATCGTCGGAGACACTGTTTTCGTGAAACTTGCGAATGGTGTTTCCAGTGTCGCAACGACTAGATCTAATTTTTTTTTTCCGAACGCTTGTAGCCGGTCAAGTCGGTATTCGTAATTACCGATGAATCCGAGTTCGTCGCCGCTGCTACCTCGGACCTAATTGTTGTTTTACCACGCCGGAAGTTGATCTTCCGTGATCGATATACGATAGAATTATCCACCATGAAGGGCCGGTCACTGTTGCACGATCTACAGTGACCCAACGACTGAGCTGACAAACGTGAGCTCGTAACGGCAAGATGCGTTAAATTCAACCCGTTATTCGCCCCGTTACTTTTCCTCATTTCGTACGTCTTCGTCCTCGATTCGACTCTTTCACGTGCAAGCATCGGCCGCCATACTGTGCCAGTGTGTACGTAAACACACGAGTTTATATACAGAGTGTTTCAATTCGATTCTGTAAAACATCGCCCTACGGCCTGCCAAATTTCTTTAATTCCTTTTTCCGTGTACTATATTTTGCTTCTATTACGTTAGCAATTTTAGTTAATAATAAAATAAATAATTTTAGTTACTAATTACGTTAGCCTTTAGTACATCGCAATTTGTAACAGACGTAGGAGACACGTCTTTTCTGGAGACACGTCTTCTCTTCGAATCCCGTAGCGATTTAGGAGATTAATTGATATCAATCGTGTCTGGGTTAGATACGCAACTTGCTGCACAAGCAATGTTCACACACTTGTCATCGTAGTCTAACAGGAGGCTTACGATAAAAAATGCACGCCGTATCGGGCTAATACGTCTTAAAGAATTTATTCCGTGACTCAAGTTTTCGTTCCGACCGGGACTTTCGATACCGAACTCTGCTGCGCACTAAGCGTCAACTTTTTTCGTTTCTTTGTTGATAATTAAACAATGACTGCCGCGATATGAAACGGTTCGAATCGTCTCGTTTGTTGTTTTCATTATCTGCGCATGTTATTCGACGATTTGCTCTACTAGACTCGGTGAAGCGATCAGAAAATACATTAAGTAATATTTTTCTTTTTTTTTGTTTATTCTTTCCCGGTGTATCGTTATAACTGTTCGTCGAAAGATGCGGTGCAACGATTTGTGAACTAAATTCTCACGTGTTCCTTTCGGAACACCTTTAGGTTAGTGAACCCTGATACTGTTTTAAAAGGCAGTTTGCCCTAGCGATAACCTGTTAAGTTAACCTAAGTTCCACACAGGCGTTTTTCTCGCTTCGCGCGTTCTTCTTTTTTTTGGGGGGGGGGGAGGAGGGGAAATGAATTCCGTATGAATGATCGCTTTATGTTAGAGCAGTACCTGTGTAACTCCTGAAACCTGTCACGTGGCTTAATCATGTATCGTACATGTATATTCATGGAAATTTATTATTAGCAAAACATTATCTAGAAGCCAGAGAGGTAGTAGGGGGAATGCTGAATTCAAATATTTCGGTGTTAAAGTGATCGGATCTCGCGAATCGATATTGTATCTTATCTCGGGAAAGGGCAATCAGTATCTGAATCATTAATTATGAGTCATTGACACGTATCAAAAATCTCGTGACAAAAATACCCGTGCAGCGCAAATAATGCAATTCGTCTCACAAGCGTAGAACAGTTTTATTCCACGTGTATCGTTAATTACAGCGTCTAAGAGCTTACGTTGACTTCGGTCTACGAATAATGGAGCATTACGCACATCCTGACGCAATTCTGTCGAACGCTCAACTTTCCGTGGTCTAATAACGATTGATATGGAAAATATTCTTCATACAATATATATATATATATATATATTGTACAATAATATATATATATATAAATAATATATAATATATTCTTATTCCAATTTATGCCCGGATCCAGCCCGCGCGTGCCGATCCCAAGTACCTGAACTTTGAAATTGGCACATCGCCACGAAAGAAGTGCGCAATTCCGCGGTTGAGATCCGCTACGCCGCGGCTACATTACCGGGAAGAATAATTTTGGGCGGCTGCGACGTAGGGGTGGCCGGTGCATCGAGAAAATTCAACGGACGATGGAACGATCGACGAAGTGCTGGAGGAGAACAAGCGTTGTATTTACATATTCACGCCGACGTTAGACCCGCTGAACCTACATACCGGCTGGACTTCAATCCGGCGAACAGTAAACACGCGTACAGAGCGGCAACACGCGCTCGAAATTGCTCGTGGTAGCGTGCAGCCGGACGAAATCCGTGCAGGTTATACCCGGATCCGTTGGTCCGCAATTTAACGTTTCCGTTCAAGTATTTCCCCGCGATCTATCGGTGAACAGTTCGATCGAAAATTGTCGGGGATTTGTCGCCGCAGGGACGCGTACTTGATGTTTCATCGCCGCCATCCGATATTACGTCAGTTTCCACACTTTCCACTGACAGAACAGACATGCTTCGACAACCGAGCTAGCACGCGCTAGCGTCGAGATATTCAAACGCTAATATTTTCTTTTCCGATGACGAACGATACGCGCAGCTAAGTTTATAAACGTGGCTTTCGCGCTCGAGACTGTACCGCAAAGATTCGTTCTCGATTAAAAGTGCAAGCGTACCCTGCGTCCTCTTATCGGTTACCGGAAAACACTTGTCAACTCACGTGCGTGTCATCAATACAGAAACAATCGCACTCACCGTCATACGGGCGATTTAAGTCGATCTCCAGCCGATCGAAGATGATCCTCGGTCGATACTCTTCCGCCAGCAAATACACGGTCATTCCACGGTAAACCGTTTCGATTGGATTCTTTTCTCTCGATCCGTTTCAGTAAATCCGCGTCTATTCCCCGATGGTGGTGGTGTCGGCAGTGCCGATGCATCGGTGTCACGCCTCTTTGTTTATAATATAATGCAGGCGTGACGAGTTTCTTCTCCGCCAGGAGTCGCATAATCCCCACCATCGGTTAGCCGGTTCTCCCACTAGTCAGCTGACTGTTCACTACTGCTACGTTCACATGGCGATATATGTGGTGGCAAAAGCTGGTCGTTTTTGGCGGGACAAAGTTGACGGTCGCCGAAAGATAATAGAAATGCGATAATTTCGATTTTGTAGATATATCGTGGTGTTATTGTTCTATTTAATCAATTATGCAATGTACCCACTGTTTCCACGATTCCACTCCATTTCAATATTTAAGTAATAATTGATAAGAAATAATCACATGTTTCTCAATAATTTTGTACGACAAAGATGGAACTACTGCTCGGTGAATCGGATAGGCATAGTAGAAATCTGTTCTTTTATGCTGCGAATTAGCCGGTTCTTACCATGCACTGGTAACTAAGTAAAAATCTATCTTATCCGCGGTGTTCCTGCTCTCTTGTTCGACGAAATTTTTGGCTTATCCTTCCATGAATCAACCATTGTTGACAACATATTTTTTAATTTAACAAAATATTAAATAGTATTGATTGAACCACGCTTAAACTTTAGCGGCACTTTACAAAAGGTGTTTAGCTTCAAAGTCAATGTTGTTTAGGATTGATAGAAATAAAGTGAATGGTGTACATGATTTATATATAGTATTATCAGATTTAATATTATAAATCGATTAGACCTGTTACATATATTTACAGTATTGATTGCCAGAGGAAAAAAGAAATTCGACTCCCAAGCGCCATCTTACAGTTTGGAGACAACAATCATTTGAATTAAAACTAAAATAAAGCAGACGTTTAAATTTCAAGTGGCAAAGGGATCATATGAGTTAAAATTCTTCTTTCCTGAATAACACACATATATTTAATATTCTTGGTTGCGCAACTGCTTATCACGTGATAATCGTAGACAAATCAATATAGGTTAGTAGCTAACTCAATGACGAAAATCCCCATACACATATACGTTTATCACATTTTCAACATGATCATTCAATATTTCATAATATAGTGACAAATAGATACTCATTATTTTCAATTGCGATATTGCGTTACATATACACTATATTTACGAATTATAGACCAAATTGTAGTAAATGCATTACTCTACAAATTAATTAAGTATTTATGTAGGTAAATGTCTATAAACAGAACATTAAGTGTAAAATTATGGAATACTATACAAAAACTTCGTAACATCAAGCTCTGCTCAAAGTAATTACAAAGTTATTATTTTGAAATAAAATGTTTCTAAAACATTGACCGGCAACTTACGGTACTATTGATACATTTTTATTTTTCTAAATGATATATGTATGTATTTTTTATATTATATAAGCAAGCTGTCCACTTAACGATTGCTGAAAGTCACATGTTTGCCAACTTCGTCATTAACACGCTATACAATTATATAACCAATAATGCATTCAATTTTATCGAGTATTCTAAAAGACATTCACAGATCAGGTATTTAGCTTAGTTAACGAAAGATTATTGAATTACACGCGTGATTTCACAATGCAGAGACAACTTTTCATCAATTTCCAAATAACCTGAAGTACGCTTTAATTGCAGGAACGTTGACTGTTTGTTCTATTTCTGGAAAGTTCTAGTGATTCCGTCTGAGTTTGCGTAGAAGCTGCTAAGGTTGCGTAACATAACCGAGAACTCGAAGATCAATCGCAGTCGCAGACGAAACTTGCGGAAGAAAAGACGTCATAAGTTTGACACGAAGTTAAGTTTGAAAAATTATAAAAAATGCCACGACGAGGACGTGCATCTGCCCCTCCACCGAGGACGTAAGTATTTTTTCCTCATTTTAACGATCAATAAATTTTTAAATAACTCACGCGCAATATTACTTCGTGGTGCGCGGTAATGCTCAACGTGACGTTGTTCTTGATTAACAATTTGTTGAAGGTTTTCAGATAACGTCAATCAATGTTTGTATTATTGTAGAGTCAGGCCCACTCGCGCTGCGGCACCAGTCCCAGCACATGCCCCACCATCAACACCCATGGTGGCTCAACCTCAACCTCAACAGCCATCCCTCATGGGACAAATGGCTGCCACAGCTGGAGGTGTAGCCATAGGATCTGCAGTAGGTCACACTATTGGACATGCTATGACTGGACTCTTCAGCGGTGGCTCCAGTGAGACTGCTGCTGCACCTGCGGCTGCAGCACCTGTAGCAGGTCAGAGCACACCAGCCTCTGCCCCTGCTACTGGTGCCTGCGCATGGGAAGTTAAGCAGTTCCTGGATTGTGCTCAAAACCAATCTGACCTCACTCTGTGCGATGGTTTCAACGAAGCTCTTCGCCAGTGCAAAGTCTCTAATAGTAAGAAATTTCTCCAAGAATTATTACTAGAAATTTCACGGTAACATAGATACTAATAAATAATGCATTCTTTTCTTTTTCAGATATAATTTAAATAAGTACACCTACAAAAATATCTGGTAGCAGGTGATTACGAGATGAAAATTTAGAAAATATTACACAAATCTTATATATTGGATGTTTTAGATTTACTCTGTTAAAATTATTATATACATTTTTATGTATGAGTATTATGCAATTATAATAATCGAAATGAGAGTCTAATTCAGAATTGGACAGTAGAAACTCTCGATTTTAAATGCTTCATGAATAAATTGAATCCTAATCTAATGTACAATTTCAGATTCGTTTACATCAACCTTTTCCTATGTATATATATATATATGAATATTATATATAGATCTATTTGTTTCAAGCTTGATACTACAGTTGTGCAATTATCACGTGGATAATGTAAAATATCTAATAATAATAGATGACTGTTGTATTAAAAATATTATCAATTTTCTTTCATTGCTTGAAAATTATCACCTCTGTTTTGTATTTTTTAAATACGTGGAAATGTTGAAAGAAAGTCATGATTAAAATTATTCCGTTTCCACATTATTTTCATTCTTCTGATTAAATCCCAAATCTTCTGCTGTTCCGAGTTCCGTGCCTTCCAAGTCGAATAACATTACAGACAAAATTACTAATTGTAGCTATTTTTAAGATAAATCTCTAATTAAGATAATTCTGCTAATAACAACATATAGTACAGCTGGAACTGTCATGACAAGTATCAATATGTAAACTTATTTTTTAATTGAAGTTATTGCCGAGGAGATCATTGTATTTTTGGGATGATAAAATTCTTAAAATAGACATCAGTATGAAAATCTCGCCATTTACAGAGTCTTTCGCTATATGCGGATGAAATATCAGAACAAATACAAGCATCACAAAAGCATTGGCTAATAAAACTCGCTAAAAAAAAAAGAAATAGAAAGGTAAAAAAGAATGTTAACTTCTGCAAGACATAAAAAATTAATGATTTAAGAACATAGTTTATTAACTTAACGCGTTTCTCAAAGACGGCTTTATACTCGGTTAAAGGAGGCAGTTAAATGTGCAAGAAAATGGATATGGTAGACTATCTTTTTTCTGTGTTCAATACACGCATCACCACGAAGCCCGCGACAGTGGCGACTGCAATTCCAAGGCCAGCTTTCCACCAGACAATGGAGTCCCCTTGCATGAGTCCAAATTGATTTATATGCCTGAAATTTCAACAATTATTTGCCGTATCGACCATAGAAAATTCTACAGAGATATTTAGTATGATAAAAACTCATACATGTATATGTGTACTCGTTACAGCACCATACAATGATACACTAAATCAAAATGCTATCCTATGACTAGGTCCATTAATCTTTGGTCTCATCACATTTTAATTACACACAGAATTCGAAAACATTAATCATATTGGAATATGTATGGGAACCATACACGATAGGGCAAGATTCCAAGGATCAATTGCAATTTCATGCTCATGCAATAAAAAGTAATATAATCGCGCGTCGATTTATAAATGTAAGCCGTGAGCACGCCGTGAAACAAACAGAAGTTTACAAGACGAACAAAAACCTTGTAAAAGAACTCCACCATTGAGTGGGTGAGGATTTGTCAAGCAACATGTGGACCATACGCCTCAAAGGACTGAAAAGATTCAAGACTCCGTTAAAATAGTCTTCAAATCATGCGACAACTTCTAATCTCTGAGCAAATCGCCTAACACATTTGCCTGTGAAATTTTACTTCAAGAATTACAGTGAAGTATGAATGTCAGAAAAAAAAGGAACAAAAAGAAGTATGTGATTCACGATTTGCTCAAGCTTACAAATGTTTACAGTGTGTCAAAAATTCAGACCAACCTGTCTCTGTAAAATAATACCCATGCTCCTTGAAATCGGCTAAACATGAAATTTCTGTTAGTATCTAATAGTCATTCAATTTCGTAAGAATAATATTATTATTCTTAAATACTACAAAATGCAACGTAATTCTTGTATCCAATTAAGAAAAACTGATGTCCCCCGTACTATTTCAAGTAAATTCAACTACTCTTTATAGAATAATAATTATGGAGCACAATCGTACTCGTAAAAATTACGTTTAATAATTCACGTTAATAAAACTTACGGGAAAGCTGCCATTGTTGCTAGTTTAACGAAGATTTCACGTCGTACGGTGCGGGAGATGCTGTACGGTTGCGGTGGCATCAGTTTGTACTTTTTGCAAAAACTTACTGGCTGCAGCAAGTACTCTTGTTTCACTTCGGAAAGATCGCTCTTATTTGCTATGATAAGAACAGGTATCTTACTATCTGCAAAATATTTCTGGAACAAGGAAATCATTTTTTTTATACACAGCTGAATCGTTAAATTGTCATGTGAATTATTTATGAAGTTCTTACAATATAGACTCGGGCAATAAATTCAAACGATTTTGGATTACTAGCATCGTAAACGAGAGCTGCAACATCGCATTGAATTTGTGCCGGAGTTAAAGCATCCTGAACGTTCATTATATTTATGTCCCGCAAGATGATTGTCTTCTCCTGACCGTACACGTGAACGGTGTTTACCGTTACATGTGCATTCGATGGGACCGACTCATCAGTTAATTTCTGCAATTCCATTCGCAATTCAATAGACTTGTACTCAATAAATATGTATATGCTATCGTATATACCTCGAGCTTGGGATCAATAAACGTTCTGCATAATGTCGTTTTTCCGCTACTCTTCGGACCAATGATGTGACAACTGTACACATTCCTGCTCGATTGCTTTTTCGCCAAATCCAGTTTTTTCTCGCGGGTAACTAAAACTGCGTTAGTCTGACATTCGTTATTATACATATTGTAGCCTAGATATGCCATATATTCTAATGCTTTGCGCACATTGGTAAGAGTTAATAGCGCCCATTGACACACATATCCTTGAAATGTAAGCCAACCCTGTTGTGGAAGTTAGAATTGTGATTTAATTACAAGAACGTGGAAAAACAATTGTTGAGCGAGTATAAGATTACAAAATAAACCTTTTCATTGGTTGGGACAGTATACTTGTACTCGTCACCCCATGGTGGAGTTAGGCACCTTGAAAATAACGATTCCAATTCTGGTGGTGAGAGAGCACCATCCCGATCTCTGTCATGTTGCATAAACAATAACGTTAAAAACTCCTGACCTTTGTGAGACAACTCGGTTGTGCATCCAGAAGGAACCTTTAAACTGCACGAAGCACAGAAAATTAATACAATACAAAATTAAATATTGTTCAATGATTCATTCATTAATTGGCTACTAACGGAGGATTTATATATTCTTTTGACATTTGCAATTCATTGTCATAACCAAATTTCCTCAATACTGCCCAAGTAGTCTCATTTCGTCCACGTTGTATGAACAAGCACTGGAGATACATGAAACCTGCACACAGGAGAAATGTCTTATCTTACCAATTTTTTATCTTTTTTTTTTGGAAGAATACCTTTCATTGTAACACATCCATTGCAGATTCCATCCTGAATATTTTTTGATAATACAGCTTTCACATCCTCCAGGACCTGTGGTTGTAGCGGAGTGTTAAAGCACCACTGCTGAAATGCATTGAGCTCCATATCGTTTAATAGACCATCGTTATCCAAGTCACATATCTAAAATTTTGCAATAACAAATATAAACATTTAACAAGCAGTGAACATACTAAACATTCAAATGGTATATATACACACATATATACGTACTTTAAAAATTCTTTGGAGAGCAGTTTTACATTCCTCTGTGAGCTAAACATTGCATCCATGTAATGAGTTATTTAACAGATCACATACTAAAAGTTATATAAATTTGTAGAAAATTTTACCTCTTGGGTATCATAATTGTACAATGGGGTGGTAGGATGTAAAACAGCTCTTTGTGCATAATAAAAAGTTTCTGATACATTTTGCAAAGTTTTGGCGGAACACTGAAAATAAATACAGTGTAAGTTAGATGGTTGTTCCAGTAATAATTCATTGAATAAATATCAATATCTAAATTCATGATACCTCGATACAACTCTCGATCTCGGTAAATTCTTTCATTATAGGATATACGGCCTATAAACGAAGAACAATAATTAGCATCTTGTATGAAAAGAGATTTGTACAGCATTTGTGAGTATTATTTTGTCTATAAACCTCAATAGTAGAATAATCGACAAGGTCTATTTTATTTCCCACAAGTACAATTGGACAACGATTATTAGTTGAACATCGTCTGATCATTGGTAACCAGTAAGTAGCAGTTCTATCCAATGTATCCTCGTCCACTACAGAATATACAACGCAAATTACATGTGCCTTTTGGATTTCGTCCGACAACTGATCCTCTGTCTGTTCCGCCGCTGTAAACATAATCGATAATGCTTATGAGATTTATTTACAAATACAGGCTAACTTCGGCAAAATAATAAAAGCAACCAGGCCTTTTAACACCTCGCATCCAGCCATCTTATAATATTACCCCTTTGCTACATAAACATAGATACTAGCCTGAATAATCAACAATGTGTGTAGGCACTTGTTCGGGCGTAACGTCCGCCGGTATCGTGATTTCCTCCGCCTTGCAGGGCACATCCTCGGCGTATTCTTCGCTGACCAACGATAAAATTAGGGAGGTCTTGCCGACCCCGCGATCACCGATCAACAAAATCCTAACATTGCGCTTGGGCGCGACCGACCTTTGAACCATGCTGCCTCTCATATAATACTACTCTCGCTCGCAACAGCGTCGTTCACCATTTACATCCGAAGGAACATCTTCGCTGCTTCTGAGCGTTCCGAAAACTTTCCGTCTCTCTGGCCTAACCTAAAAATGCACGGCTTACCCTCTAGCACCAGCTTCTAGACGTCACCTCTCCGTACTATTTCCCGATCACCTACGTCGACATCTTATCATCGATTATGATCGATGTGATCGGCCGCCTTTGTCGCGAATTTTCTCTATCATCCGTGTTAGCGGAAAAAAAGCGTTGCTTCGGCCGCTGCGATTGAACTTGCGCTCCGAGGGTGGGCTTTTCAAGGTTACGTTCTCTGCTCCGAATGACAGTGTACACATAGAAAAACATATACACACGTGTGCTGGAGAAAGAACGAAGAAGGGAGGAACAGAGACAGAGATAGATAGATAGATAGATAGATTGAGAGAGAAAGAGAGAATTTGGGTGCAGAGAAGCAAAGAGCACGAAGGGATCGCCCCAGCGTGTACGAGACGAATCCGGGGGACCTACGCGTATTACGTTCGTAGTTAAAGTGGGTTTAATAAAACGAGCAATTCGCACTTCGGCAAAATGGAAAATCATTCTATTCGTGGAACGAATCTCGTAGATTCGCAGCGCCCACATTTAAATCGCTTGCTATAGCGGTGCACCCAGGGAAATCGATAAGGCTCAAATATCTCTTTCTTGGAGACTGACCTACGAACACAAATTTCAAATAGAGTTTAGAACTATTCGTATACACGGAGCACTCATTACGATCGAACTTCGACCCGTGAAATGGATGTAGGTACGAGTACTTCCTCGAGTATCAGAAATTTGAATTTAAGTATATTATATATTGAATGTAATGTGAGCGAATATCCGAGTATTCGAATAGGTACATATCTATTTGGATACGTTGAGTATCCGAATAACCGAGTTCAAGAAATAGATCCGCGTAATAGTGGAAGCTCTAGTTTCAAATGAATTTCGCCAGGAATAATTATTTTAACGAAAGTGAGATTATGAAAGAAAATGTTTAGTCATGAAGATTTTTATCTATCTGTATGTTTATCCGAATGACGTAATCTCATCAATCAATCGTTTAAACGATTTAATAAATCCTTGACGCGTGTACAACAATATTGCAATACATGTTTTCGACATACTTTCGTTTTTAAATTTGTCCCAAATTCTATTTGCTATTGCTATAAGCTATAATTATTATATTTTGTATACGATCGATGAAAACGCAAGTAGATAAAGAAGGATACGCGGATATAGATAAATGATGCGGGTTAAACAACAGTAGGTAAAGAAATTACTGAAAATATCGTCTCTCGACGATGAGTTTGGTTTTTTGAATATGGTGAAATACAGCGGGTGTACAAAATACTCGTAAAATACTACAAAATACTAAATAAAATATAATTAAAAAAATATAAAATACTAATACTACTACTACTAATACTACTAAAATATACAAAATACTCGATACAAAATACTCTTTTAAAACGTAATAATTTTTTTTTATAATTGGGCCGAACGATCTTTACTAGACAATGGTTAAAAAATTGTTTTCAAAAATTGCAACTGGTTGGCATGATGATAGAATTAAATAATGTAAATTTTTCTTATAGGCTCCGATAAGAAATGTCGGTTTGGGTCAAATTTATGCGCTTCGAAAAATAATTAGTAATGCAACAATTCGGTAAATCTACTTTTTAAATAAAATTTGTCTCTACAACTCTCTGTCTCTATGTATAGATCATACATGTTTTAATTGCAACAGTGTTGCACTGCAAAGAATACGTGATATTGCGTCAGGATAATAATGCCACATAGTGATGAGATAAACCAAAAAAAAAGATGATTTTAAAAAGTTGCGATAGATTCGGCCCCCCCGAATTATCTGTAACCAAAGAATATTTACGCTTCTTGTACGTTATCGTGTTTTCGATACGATTTGTTTGCCTCTTTCACATTTATAATTAATTAAAATACGCGATATGCCATTTTGTAGCTGCTTCAATAAAATTTCTTAAGTATTCCACATTAGTAACAAACGTTTGCGGACGTCGTTATATTTTCATAGAATTTCTCGAATTTCATGTTACAGGAATTATTGTTTAACAAATGAAAAGAAAGAAGGAGATGTGTTTCCATTATCTTCGAACATGTTTGTTACATTAGAAAAATTGTTCGTACAATATATAACTACATGCTGATAATTGTTTGCATCCCCCTTCCCCCTCCCCCCTTACAGAATATAAGAATAGTATATGGTTCGAACCACATAGGTGGTAAACAAAGCGATAACCTTTACGCATATAGTCACCTGCGAGATCAAGACATTGCATTATCGTTTCGCATTATCCCGCGCGTGAAGATATTGCTGACCCCCATCATGTTAAGTCAACCTTTATGACCCTGCTAAAAATGTTACAAATTTGCCAATAATATTACATATGCATAATATTACAACTACAATTTAACATGCAATTTTTTAATGAAAATACCACCCCAAACAACTTTGGTCTATTATTTTACTTCCTTGCCGATTCTATGTTTTCGAACAAGCCAAATAAGACCAATTTTTGAAGAACATAAGTTCAATAGTAATGCAATATGATCTTTACAAGTGTATACGTATATAAACAAATATACCTTCAGATATTGACAATACTCGATAAGATTTTATGTTACTTTTAGTTTAATACTTTCCACATAATTTTCAAATTTTAAATGAAAATGGTACATATTTTAGGTACATATATCCTGAGATCCCTGAAGAAGAAAATTAAATGTGCTATGTAAAATGGATGGCGATTAGATAACAGATAGTGCTTAAAATTTACCTGGATAATTCGAATAACGCAGGTAGATCACCGCAGAATTTTTCCGATACAATAGGTCCGATATAGCAAGGACAATTATTACCGATGTGTATCATCGGTTAACTTTTGTTTCATTGAGTTCGATACATTCGAAATGGCAAGGGATATCGCGGGCAGACAGCGAAATCTTGAGGGAGGTAGGTCGACAGGTCGCCGATAACCGCGTTCCTCGATAGGATTCGGGTATAAAAGCCTGGACCAACAGGCAGTTAGCATCGCCCATCATTGAATTCACAATGAGGTGCTTAGTTCTCCTGTTGGCTTTCGTGGCTTTTGCTAGCTGCAGCAGTGGCAGACATGCTGGTAAGTTCATTTTCTAAGTATTTTTTCAACTTTCTGTTACTTCTCAACGACTTGCCAAAGATATCTGATCAGTCCAGTCCTTAATTACAATCTATAGAACCGCTGAGCTATTGTCTCCCTACTGTTTCGGTGCATGTGTACTGTAGACAAAGCATAATATTAACGATAATTCTCAGTAACTGACGAATAGTTGAATTTTAACTATAAAAATAAGATACTTGCTACTTTTCCTTTGCGGTGCTTAGCACAATTTTGTTATGGTTAAACAGAGTTAATAATGGTTTAACTTCATTATTCCGCTAGCATTTCCTGGTATTTGAAACAATTTCTTGATTTCTTCAGCTGACCAAGATCTCCTCAGCAAGCAGCAAGATGTGATCCAGCTGCTGCAAAATATCGGCCAGGAAATTCCGAACCATCAACTTCAAGAACTCGGCATTAACTATGACATTACAAACAACGCTTTACAATACACCAACCCAATCATTGTGAAATACTATGCTGGCGTGGTCCAGGCTGGTTTAGTCCAACCAAAAGGCACCGTCTACACCAGCAGCATCAGCCAGCTCCGTAAAGAAGTAGCCCTTCTTTACAGAATTTTGATGGGCGCCAAGAACTACCAAACGTTCTTGCAGACTGCTGCATGGGCTCGCGTGAACGTCAACGAGGGACAATTTGTCAAGGTACAAATGCGTGGAGAAGCTGCGCAAACAGTTTGAGAACGTGTAGTTGTCCTAGAAGTTGATCCATTAAATGTTCCTTCTTCGTAACAGGCTTTGATCGGTGCCGTTTTGATGCGCCCGGACACCAAGGGCATCATTCTCCCGCCGTTGTACGAAATCTTGCCCCAATACCACTTGGACGCTAGAATCATCCAAGAAGCTCAGGACATTGGCATCCAAAATATCCAACAAGGCAGCCAACAACAAAACATCCACGTGATCCCAGCCAACTACTCTGCTCTGCTGTCCGAGAGCGAACAGAAGGTCTCCTACTTCACTCAGGACGTCGGTCTTGCTTCTTACTATGGCTACCTCAACCTCGTCAACTCCATCCTGGGAGAAGTAAGATATATTTGAAAACTTCGAATGTTCGATATCGCCCGCGTAAGGTGACGGTAATAAAATTCGCGATTTGCTTCCTAAACAGGACGATCAACAACAACAACAGCAACAGCCCCTGACCCAGCAACAGTACCAGCAACAGATCGTCGGTAGATACTTACACCAAGTTGGACAGGACCAACAGAACATCGTCGGCCACGGAGCCAAATACCTGTACCTCCACCAACAACTTCTGGCTCACTACGAACTGAACCGTCTCACCTGCGGACTCGCCCCAATCCAAGAGATCGACTACAACAACATCAACTCCGAATACCACCCGCATCTTCGTGCTCTGAACGGTCTTGAGTTCCAAAGCCGCCCGGCGAACCTCCAACTCCAACCGCTGAAGAACAAGCTTATCCAACATGTCATCATGCTGGAGCAAAGATTAATGGACGCTATCGACTCTGGACACGTGATCACTCCCCAGGGCATCTTCCTGTCTCTTTACCAACCACAGGGTGTCGACATTCTTGGTAACCTGATCGAAGGTGGTGGCAAGAGCGTCAACCCAAGGTTAAAACTTTCATCCATCGTTTAATACTTTGAATTCTACTCTGGTAGCGTGCTAACGATTATCTTCGTTCGTTCTTCACAGATACTACGGAAGTCTCCAGGCTGCAGCCCGCAAACTCCTCGGCAATGTCCCCGAAACCCAACAGCTCGGAGAAACGCCGTCGGTTCTCGAACTTGGCCAGACCGCTGTCAACGACCCGGTCTTCTACAAGCTCTACAAGAAGGTCATGAATCTTTACAACAAGTACCAGCAATCCCTGCCGGCTTACCAATGGAACGAGCTTATCCTCCCTGGAGTGACCATCCAAGACGTCGACATCAGCGAGCTCATCACCTTCTTCAACGACTACTATCTTGACCTTAGCGCCACCGTTCCCCAACTTGGCCTGCAACAACAGCAACAACAGCAACAGCAACAGCAACAGAAGGTTCTGGCTCAGCTGAAGAGACTGGATCACAAACCATACCAGTACCAGATCAACGTGATCAGCAAGCAAGCAGTACCCAACTCTGTCATTCGTGTATTCCTCGGACCTAAATTTGACCACCAGGGCCAGAAAATCAACATCGCCGAGAACCATCAGTCGTTCGTTCAACTTGACCAGTTCGTTTACGATCGTACGTTCTCCAATCATTTCCAAAAAGCTTTCCGTTACAGTGTACTTAAACTGGTTGCTTGTAATGTACGTTCGATTTACAGTCGCCCAGGGCCAGAACGTCATCGTCAGAAACTCCCAGCAGGCTTCAGGCTTGAGCCACGACTGGCCATCGATCCAGGAGATCCAACAGGGTGTCCACAGTGCTATGAGCTCCCAGGGACCGTTCTACGTCACCAAGGTAGCGTATACTTCCTTCATGAAACGTATACTCTCGTGGAACACAGGTTTGCTACAAATGAGAAATATTATATTAATGAGAAATATTTCTTATATTAATTCATTATTATTCATTATTATTAATATTAATATTCATTATTATTAATATTAATATAATTAATTTATAATAATAATAATAATAATTATTATTATTATATTAATGAGAAATAACATGAGAAATATTTATACTTACAGCCCCACCAGATCTTCAGCTTCCCCGCTAGACTGTCTCTACCTAAGGGACAACCTCAAGGCTTCCCTCTGCAATTGCTGGTCGTGATCTCCGCTCCAGGCCCGTTGAACGTTCCCTATGGTCCGGTGAACTCGCACGAGACCGTGTCCTACCAGACCCAACAATACCAGATTGTCAGCCCTGAGCAGTACCAACAACTGCAACAGCAACAGAGCCAGCTGCCCCATGTGTCCGGCATCCAGCAGACTCTAGAGGTTCTGCCCGAGAGCTGGATGAATTCTCCGTTACACATTCAGAACGCTCTGAACAAAGTACTCGGCAAACAATCCTGGTTAGGTCAACAAGGCATCCAGCAAGGCAGACAGCAGATCCCCATTCAGGTACGGTAGAAACTACCGCGTCGGCCTTTTCAATCACCAGCTACGCCACGTTCCAACAAGGATGCCCCTATTAAATTGCAGACACATGTCTCACAGGTTGGCCAGAATATCCAAGGCGTCCAACTGGGTATGCAAGGTGTACCAAACGTGCAGCAACAAGGCGTGGTAGGTCTCCAGGGTGTCCAGGGATTACAGTCTGGAATTCAGGGTATTCAGGGTGTCCAGGGATTGCAATCTGGAATCCAAGGTGTCCAGGGTCTGCATAACGTACAGGGTCTTCAGGGAACACAGCAGGGTATCCAGGGCGTGCAGCACGGTGTCCAGGGTGTGCGAGGCGTGCAGGGTCTTCAAGGAATACAGCAGGGTGTCCACGGTGTGCACCAAGGTGTCCAGGGTGTGCAGCAAGGTATCCACGGTGTGCAGCAAGGTGTTCAGGATGTACAGCTCGGAGTCCAGGGACTTCAGAAGTTGCAGCAAGGTGTCCAGCAAGGCGTGATCTCGGGACTGAACAGTCCCAGCCCGTACCAGCAGTCGGTCCAGGGAGGCTGGCAGAGCCAAATCACTGGCGGAATCGCTAGCGGCGTCATCAACGGACAATTGTACGGCAGCGGCTCCGTCAACAACGTTGCCAGCGGACAGCTCCATGCCGGTGGCTTCCAGTACGTCCACGCTCAGCAGCACACGGTTCAGGACCAGACCGTCCAAGAATACTACAAGAACCAGCCCATTCAAGACATCATCGGCGGCACGATCTCCCTCGACGGCAAGCCGCTCGGCTTCCCCTTGGACCGACCTCTGAGCCTCGGCGCTCTCGGCGTCCCCAACATCTTCGTCAAGGACGTCTTAGTCTACCATGTGGGTCAGCCCACCAACGAAATCACTCAGTAAACGTTGCCTACCGTTGAGCTGAGTAGCTCCGGAGGACAATCGTGTAACGTTAACGTCAGGCAAAACACAAAGGTTTATTGAAGTAGCATTTATAATGAATAAATTGCTTCGTTGAGCAAACGCTTCTTGTAACATTCATCCCAGAAACTCCGATCCTCCTCCGCGAATCAAACTTTGTACGCTCTGTACGCGCTACTGTCGAATTATCCGATTCTAGTATAACGTAGAACGCTTCTAGGTGCGAAGAAGTACAGTCAACTTTTATTTACATACATGGGATTTTCTTATAACAATTATAAATTAACGTTCTCTAACAGGTCTAACTGCGGTTATTATCTTAACAATATTTCCTTCCGATCGATGTGCTCTCTTGTAAATCGGTGAAGCGTCAGTTTCCATTGGAAAACCCTCGAAGAAAACGAAACAACTAAGTACAGTCTAGTGTCTAGAAAAAAGTATTGCTAGAAATTAACAAATGCATTCGCTTGAACAATTTGCAAGAATTTCGGATAGTTCTACGATGATCCGGGAAAAAGATCTCGTCGATCGGTAGTCAAAGTACTCGAAATGATAATTTTATTAAAGAAGTATCGCGTTAGTTTTGGTTTTCTGCCAGCTTCGAATTGTGTCCTCCTCGATAACGCTTGGTCAGTCGCCTCGAGCCGGTCATCATTCTCCTGTCATCATCTCCATAAATTCTGTACAAAAAAAAGAAAGTGCTCGGCTATAGAAAATGTGTTCTTAAAATAAAATGGTGCGTATACCGAACGAAATACAAGCTTCGTATATTTTATAAAATTCTATGCTCTGGTCCGCAAGAGACCGGAACTGGTTCTATTGTGTTCTAAATAAAATAAAATAACTGCATAATATCTGCGATCCACGCTTGACGAAGTAGCTTTTTAAAATAAAAAGATATAGAATATATAAATAATAATATAATATATAATAATAATAATAATAATAATATATATTATTTCTATAATATATAAATAATATAGTAATAAATAATATTATAATTATTTATATAATATATAAATAAATATAAGAATATATAAATAAATTCTCTCAAAATAGGACAAAGCTAAAAGTGTACGCACCGTCGAAGTCCACCGTTCCAGACCCGTCGGTGTCGATCTCAGCGATGATTCCATCCAAATCGGAACTGGTTAGCTTGTCGTCAAGAGCAGCGAGGATCTCCTTCAAGGTGGCCGTTGTGATGTATCCGTTTCCCTCGCGGTCGTACAAACGGAAAGCTTCTTTGAGCTCCTCCTGCATAGCCTCCGCGTCCTCTTCCTCGAGAAACCGACCAGCGATCTTGCAGAACCCGTCGAAGTTCACTTTGCCTGACCCCTCGGGGTCGTTCTCCTCGATTATCGAGTTCAGCTCGCTGTCGTCGAACAGCTGACCCATCGTGTTCAAGATCGTCGAGATCTTCATAGTGTCGATGAAGCCGCTCTTCGTCGTGTCGAACATCTGGAACGCTTTCCGCATCACGGCCATCTTCTGCTCGTCTTCCTCCTGCAAAAGATGATATTATCCAACCGCTCTTCTCGTTCGGTCGAGATATTAATCGCGTTGGTGGCGTCACGCTGCCCACCAGCAACAGGGCAACTATTACATAAGTTATTAATCGATTTTAAAAGCCCGGATCCGATCGTTCGAGATCACTGAACATCCTGGTTCACGCGGTGTCCGCTCGTTAATCGTAAGTGCAACATATCCGAATCACAAGAATTCTACAAAAAAAAAAGAACCATCTAATCTGCGCAAAGTACATGTGGACGAACGTTATACAACCGTTGCACTCGGAGGATCGAAGGAGCAGAGGATTCCGCGGGCTTACCATGGCGATGGTCCTCTCGCACGACGGACGACGGACGACGGTTACCTGACGGTGCCGCGGTGTTTCCGTCCCGGTATAAAGACACCGTCCGCGTCTGGTAAACCAGCTAGAAAACCGGTGGTCGCAAAAATAGAGCGGTCCGACGAAAAATGAAATATGTTATAAGTGAGTCCTCCGCGGTGTCGGAAGGCCGACGCTAAATTGTCGCCGTCGTAATTGCATCGAGACCTTTCTGGTGGCCACTCGCAGCCCTTATATCGTAATTACCCGAATCAAGATAGATTCCCCGGTATCATTTTTCTTTCACGCTTTTAGAATTCCATTAAATGTCTGCAGCGCGGCAAGTGTAGTCACGGGTAAATTGTAGGAGCCTATGCAGAATTAGTTATGCTAATCGGTAGTAGTCTGCTAGCATCTTCGGCAAATTGGTGATGCAACTTCTATTCGGAACCTTCTTATGAGTCCTACACTTGCCCTCAAACGTGTTCGTACATTCGTCTGAAACAGATTCATATGGATACAAAGAGCAACGAAGAATTAATATAGTATACGTATATAGTGTACATGCGATTAAGTACGAACATTTTCCTATAGTCTTTGGAGAACGAAATCAAAGCGGTGTATCTTCGATCTTGTTTCTTTTACCGTTCGCTACCCGACCGGGCCCACGTCATTCGAAATAATTAACGAAGCGTTTCGCCGTCCAAAATTACTCGCGCCATATTAATTTCAATCCAACGCGAGAAGCGTCGGCGTCCCGGCTCTGACAAAGCGTAGCGGTTACTTTGTCGACGCGGCCGGTATATGACAACTGTTTCAGATTTATTTCCGACATTCTGGTACGACACGTCTCGTAGAATCGAAATTAGAATCGAATAAGCGGCCGGCTATCTCTTAATTCCGTGATCGACCATCTCTCGTGTGCCGCCGAGCGTTTAATATTAGGCATGAATCAAACGCGGAGGACTGTGATTCGATGTAAATCGCGTTCATTCATAAATTCGTTAAGATCGGAAAAGCTGACCTGGCAGGTTTTTGGCAGACGGTGCACAGTAGGACAAAATGATCTCGCGACGATTGAAAGCGTGTAGCCTCGGTTCCATTTGAAATGCTTCAATCAAACGTGCGATAATTGGACATTGCGCTGTGGATGCGTAGACGTATATGCGCCGAGCAGATAATTAAATGAATATTCCGTTAAGCAATGTAACCAGATGTAACGCTCGCTCGCGAGATTCGAAGGCGAAAACAGCTGTAAACGAACAGAATCTTCGATATAAGAAGGAACAGAAATCGATATCCGATGGATGTCGATTCCGCCCCATCGTGCGGCGGCGCAAAACGGAAGTCTTATTTCGAAGGCCTGCGTATATAAATCCATCCATCCGCCAAACGCAAATGGTTATAAATTGTTGCGCGATAACAACATGGATCTACGCGGAATTTTCGGGCACGACGTCGTTCTCGGATGCGTCCGCCCACCACGATCTGCGAAGTATTACAACAAGCGTTCCACCTGGCCAGACCCCCGAAGTAGGGTCCGATAAAAATATAACGAGTCCTCGGTCTCTTTCCGAACGATTCATCAACGAGTCACGCGGTTCTCCAGACACCGTGTGTGATGGTACACATGTATTATTTCCTCGCAATTTCAAGTACATCCCGGGAAAAAATAGATTTCTAGACGAAGATCAAATCTTAGTCTAAGACATAAATGTGCTCGATACACCGATTAACTCGTTAACCTCGCGAATGTCACAAGAATGTCGGAACCGGCGCGGCGTCGCGTACGCATCAATTATAATTTTCGTGGTGAAGTGACGACGCGACTGGCAGATAACAAGCTGCACAACTTATTTCGCTGGATGACGCAAGTTATTATTATAATTTTTACGAAGCCGGAGCGTCTCGTCACGGGATATTAACGCGAAAATTACTGAACAGTGAGCAGCGACTAAAATTTCTCATATTCTTCCCATAAACGAATCGAAATTTTTAATGAAGTTTGCATCCGCCAGGCGATTCGCACGATTTGTCCGACAATTTCATGATTAACTCCGCATTATCTACTAGGTATCGTGTGGCGTATCGATAGATAATACTCTCGGGACTAACGCGCCCTGTCTAGAAATAATGGGGAGAGTAATCAATCAGCCGTGAATCGGTGCAAGATCTTCGTTTCGAGTGTCAAGATCTCGGAGCGGTGTAGGCCGTTCAGTTTTCATTCAGGCGATCCCTGTTTCGAAACGGCGCGGCAACGCGTGTGAAGAACGGCCAACGGATAAGTTGTGAAGTAGTGAGTGAATTTATTCAGTCCGAAATATTTTCGTTGCCAGCGCATCCTCCCTCGTCATCGTTGCTGTGGTCATCGTCGTTGTGGCATGTTGTCCGCGCGGTCCTCCTGCTCTACGTCTCCTCCGTTTCCTTCGTTCCCTATATACATACATCTTCGGGCGGGGAAGTGACAACGACGGGTGGAGCGTGCAAAGGCAATTACGCTTCGATGCCAAGCGCTTGAAAATCAGCGGTCGCTTGGCAAGATTCGGAAGACGACTCGTTAAAGAGGTATGCGGATGCTGCCCGATGTTGAACCAGCGGATCTCTCGAAGTTTCGCCCTTCGTTCATATATTCTCCGTTCTATAAATAAATTATCCTTATTATTGTCGGCGTCATTATGCTGCGCGTTAGAACATTAACCTCTTCAAGAACGAATTTCCTAGGAATAGAGATGATTATAGTTCTCGTTCGAATGCATACACATTTTCTCCACTCTATAACTGCAATTCCACGCCCCCACCCTCCCGGCTGCTGCTCAGCAATTGGTCGGTCGTTAAACAGCAGCAAGTCGACGGCCAATCAGGACGCGGAAGAAACATTTTTATAACTCAACAAATGTAACCGGTATTTTCTGAATTGTTTGCAGTTGTAGAATCATTGCCATATTTTGTACAAAAGAGTAGAACTTATGCGAAATAAAGAACTGACTACTATATTCGTACATGTGTATCTTGAAGAGATTAACGACATCGTTCGATGCTGTCTGCTTCGAATGGACTGACAAATGTGGCAACCTCCAACAATTTATTGAACAATTCAAGCATCTTCTTTGGAACATTATTGTTCTACGTTAACTGTCCTCCTTATAGCAGAAACCAATTCATTATCTTTTATCATTAGGAATTTGAGCCCACACTATCCATAATGCTATTTTTGTAAAATATTATAGTATATAATATAATATTATAATATTATAGTATATAATATAAAATTATAATATTATAGTTATTGTAATATTATAATACATAATATATTATAATATTATAGTACATAATATAATATTATAATATTATAGTATATAATATAATATTATAATATTATAGTATATAATATAAAATTATAATATTATAGTATATAATATAAAATTATAATATTATAGTTATTGTAATATTATAGTATCTATAGTACCTATAAGAGATGAAATTTTGTAACGGCGGGTAAAAAGGCCGTGATGATAGGGCGTCGCAGGCGCACTATATTAGGAAGTATGGCAAGAGGCCAACGAGTTAACGAGCCGCGGGAATTAGAGGCAACAATTCCATCGATACTGCGAACTATCTCAGATCGACAAAGTATTCCTTGATGGTTCATATTTCGCAGCACACGCGAATCTGGACAGCGGCCGAACGGTATCGTTCGTAGCATCGGGGTTCAATTAGTTAATTTCATTGCTCACGGCTCGTAACGCATTCTTCGGTACGAAGGACGCTTCACCACCCACGTCGTCCATTCGCAAATAAAAAGTAAAGTCATGCTGTGCATCGGCAAGCTTCGTTATGTAAACTTTTTGTTTGACCTAAGAGCACGAATGTTTTGTCGAAATTTACACGATTGATTATTACTCATAATCGATACAAGAACAACGGATAATTTACTAAACATCGTTAAATAATGAGTTCGATACCTTTTTGACGCTCTGTACAATAAATATTCCGGTGCCTATTCCGTTTCCTAAAGAAATGCTTGCCTAAATCAACGTCCATCGTACATTTCGTTTATGGAATTCCAATCATTGCGACGACTTCATTCTAAATAAATTTCCTCTCGGTGCAATATATTACAGAGTTTTAAAAGCATACGTTGTTCTGTGCCTTCGACATTCGAACGTTTTCGATCGAGTACGAGGAGGCTTGTCTACCACAACTGCCAACTGAACGTTTCGCGAGCAACGCGCGAAAAATTCGAATGTTTCAAAGCGCTTCGGCAAGGATCGTTGGTAAAGAAATTTTTATTGGGAGAATTGTTTAGCGGTTAGTAAACGCGATCGCAAAACATTCAAAATTTGCAAAACTGTGCGAGTATCCAATGGAGAACACATAAAATAATTTTCGAGAGAAAATATTAATCTGTGCTTTAAATTTTACTTTAAAGTTTAAATCACAGATTGTAGATACTAGAGACGGAACTTTGGGGTTTCTCGAACGCCCATGCGTACACAAGTTTGTCGGTACACTATGAACGTAGCTTCAGAACTATACGTTTGATCGTTTCAAAGTTTTCGCTTGCGGTGTCTTTCTCCTCCCCGATTCAGTAGACCAGAAAAAGGGAAGGAAATATCAATTTGAAATACAACTGAATTACTGCTTATAGCAAGCTTATGTTAAAAATGTCGAGATGTCGTGCATCAAAGATTCCGACAACAGTTGCATTTCTGAAAGAATGCTCTGTGGTCTAGTCTAGTGCACGGTCTCGTTGGGTAGGTTTGCGGAACGCCTACGTTGGAGGGGGGGGGGGGGGGGGGGGGGGGGGGGCCCGTG